TAGGGAACGGAGACGTTACGTTCCGTCGCCACAGTTGCTGTACCATCGCTGTACGGCCGGGGCACGTAGTCTCGGCTCCTCAGCGAAAAACTGATGTGCGTTTGCACGCGCTCTCCTTTTATACCCGCGCTGCGGGGCGGGGTGCGCGTGGCGAAACACGCACGCCAGCTGTCATTGGCTTGTTTAGTTAACACTCAAAGGTGATTGGGCTCTTGGGAGAGATCCCAATTCGTCAGTCACGACTGACGTAACGTCTCCGTTCCCTCCTTCAGGGAACGAGGGTTACACAAGTAACCTAGACGTTACTTACTGTAAAGTGGATTTGCAGTATTATACTGGGTGATATACAGTAAATAACTAGAAATTACAGAAATGTATTTTTTCACAAATAATTGTATTCAATAGACTCAAATTGTAAAAGTTTCCTCGTAAACGGACACAAGTGTAGATGGTTTCACAAGAGTTTCCTGCTTCAGTTTGTACTTGTGGTTCAGGATGGTAAGAACGATATGCCACGGAAGGACTGACAGCAGTGACTCTTTAGTCAGAGCGGTGAGATCTTTCTCGGAACAGCAGCTGGATCATTTCAAAGACTTTTTTTTTTTTCATAGAAAAGTTCAACTGTGTGCTAGACCTCGCTGGGCAGTAACTACACAGGAGTTTAAATGTGACCCCCAGAAAACCTACAGATGCAGAACACTTTAAAGTATGTATTGCATTCAGGTTTGTTTCCTCTTTAAATTGAATAACTGGTAACACTTTACAATAACTTTTATTAATAAGTAATTTATAAACATTATATACTGCGTTAAACACTTCATGTACATTCATATATATGTATGTGCATATATATATATATATATATATATATGTTCTACTAATGTTCTATACAATGTTTATTATGTTACTGTTGAAAGTTATTATAACATGTTACTGTATAATTTCTCTCTCTATTTATTAATTCATTGTTTTATTTTATTTATTTATTTTTTGCTAAAAATGGTCTTCTAAAGGAATTTTCTTTTTAGTTTTGTCCCCACTTTCTTTTTTCATTTTTTGAAAGTTATTATAACACATTACTATATAATCTCTCTCACTCTGTTTATTTATTTATTCATTCATTCATTTATTTGTTTATTTAAATGCAAGCTTTATTTTATTATTATTTATATATAATTTTTTTTCTTTTTTTGTTGCTAAAAATGGTCTTCTAAATTAATTTACTTTTTAGTTTTGTCTCCCACTTACTTTTTTTTCCAGAGTTATAGATTGTATATTGGCTGTTCAAAAACGGAAGGTTTTGTCATTTAAAGACTTGCAATTTCTCTGAAATGGTAACAAGATTTCACTTTTATTTTCAGTCATCATAACAATGGCATCAATCTGGCTTGTGTTGTGGATATATATCAATGCCATGATAAAAGGTGAAACAGCATTTTTACTAATCTCATTACATGATTATGCAACAATCTTTGTTGCTTTTCTATTACTTATATCTATCTATCTGTCTGTCTGTCTGTCTGTCTGTCTGTCTATCTGTCTGTCTATCTATCTATCTATCTATCTATCTATCTATCTATCTATCTATCTATCTATCTATCTATCTACAGCAAATACTGTTTAGACAAACCTATGTTCATGTTTTTTTTCTGCTGTCGTGCAAGTACTACCCACACATTTTGAAATGGGTTTGTTGGAGGATGTTGTCAGGAATTGTCACGCAATGCTAAGTCACAAGACTTGTGTAATGGATTGGTGTGTTGCTAGCTAGTTTATTATTAGAGCCCAATTTCTTTCCCTAAATTCACCTATGAGTATGATTTAAAACACTGATTCTTGATGTTAAAATCATACACATTTATTATCCGCAGTGATCCAAGCATCATCATGTGCTAAGATTCACACACCTGCCTCTATGGTGCTCGCTGGCTCACCCGTATCAGTGTCCTGCTCCATCGAGAATGACTGCCCGCTGACTAAAGGCAAAGACTTTCGTGTGGCATGGAAGATTGATAACCATTTTGTCCCCAGCAATCTCTCTTACCAGGAGAGTAGCAGGACGTATGGTGTAATCATCCCTAGTCTACCAGACGCAGGCGCATTCATTGCTTGTGCCGTGTGTGAAGAGGAGAACTGCCAAATTGTCAATGGAGTTATAGTTAAAGTGGGAAGTGAGGATCTTTTTAATGTTTTTGATTCAGTATTAACTATGTTACTTTCTACTAAATTACTAACTACAGTCATAGAGCTTAATCAGGGTCCATATTTAATGTGAATGAAAACAAGGCATTGGTGCTGATCGTTCAACCAGCAAACATATCTTTAACAGATTGTATTTCCATCATTCATATCCTTGTTTCCATTTACACCAAATTAAATATGGTGCCAGGCTGCCAGCTCTGAATACGGTCAATTTCACATTCACGTGTTATCTACAAAATATGACATTTTCAAAAAAGGTAATAATGTAGACTATTCACTGTTGTCAAGTTAACCTGACTTCTAATTGTCCTTTCTTTAAAGATCCTCCATCTGTTCCTAAAAACCTGAGATGCTCTTTGAATCTAACGTTCCCGAGCAGATTCCTTTGTCAGTGGGATCCTGGTCAGGAAATGTCAAATCTTCCTACAAACCATACTCTTCACATATTTGGGTACTAATTTCTGCTGACATTTTCAGAACTGCAGCTTGTTTATGGATAAATCTCTCAAAAATGTAGTTTAATTTCATGCATTACATTATTTTTTTGCATAGAGAAAACAGAGTTAATTTAAGGATTATTAGTAGTTTCTGCTTTGACAATTTCATGGCAATTATATACATTTCTCTTGACAAATATGCCTCACCATAGAGTGATTGGTGACATGCTTGATAAATGTACCATTTCTCCAGGGCGATGTCAGAAAATGTTCGATATGTGATCCCACCTGGAGTGCATTTCTACTCGATTCCACGGGAATCTTATAGTTTATTTTCAGAGATGGAGATTAATGTGACAGCAGTGAATGTCTTTGGGAACGCCACCTCTGAAACCTTGAAGCTGATCCCTCTGGAAACAGGTAAAAAGAGCATTGAGCTTTATTCATCTATCAAGAATTAAGAACTAATGTGAATTTAGTGGCTTTATACCAGGGCTGTGCTCCAGTCAAAATTAAATTTAGAAATTGATTTCTGCTGAAAGTGTATATATGAATTATTATATAGGATGATGAATTGTTATTTGAAAATGAATATAAAGCAATACAATGGAATTAATTTAAATGGAATGAAAGAAATTTGGAAAGAAACGTACTTTGGGTTTTGAATAAATTTATAAAATGGTATTATTCCAAATGCATTAAGCATGTTATCTTAAACATAAAATATGGGGCATGCATTTCCAGAAACATTTAATTATTTTTTTATTTAATTTATTTATTTCATTATAATTTCATGCATACAAAATTATATATATATATATA